CTAATTCAAATACTTTTGAGTTCCCCAATATATCTAATTCAAAATTTTATAAAAAAAATTTAAGCTTTCGAACATTGATTTTTATAGTTTTGTCCACCTATTGGCCCACTGTGGCTCGGCGCGCTATCCATTCGGCCAGGCTGGCACAATGATATGCAAAAATTTTTGAAACTATATAATATTTTTTTTAACGAAAATAAATGCTACAGATCAAAATTAAGGAGAGCTTGACGCAATGCATTTTTCAAGTCAAAATGTAAAATTTGATAATACATATGTAAAACTAATATACAGGCGCGGATTTAGAGGGGGGCACAGCCGGCTCGTGCCCCCCCTTAAATTTAATTAATTTTTTGTTTATAATTATGTCGATCCATTCTCAGGTCAGATATTAGATACAGGGTACTGGAAACTGTCCATTTTGGGTTGTCATTTCATTAAAAATCATTGGCGGCTGATTATAGACCCCAGAAGGGGAGGGGGATACCCCTCCCCTTTAACCCCACCCCATTTGTGCCCCCCTATCTTTGCAACCTGTATCCGCCCCTGATATATATATATATATATATATATATATATATATATATATATATATATATATATATATATATATATATGTATATATATATATATATATATATATATATATATATATATTTAAGTATATTTTGTGATGTATGACCCCCTAAATTTTTTATTTTTTTTTTGTGCAGTTTTGGCATAACGTTGAAAATGCAATTAAAACCAAATATTTAAAACCAGTTGTTTTTATAATTAAATGTTAAATCTTAAATTTAAAAACTAAAATTAATTAAATTAAATTATATCAAACAGGCTACATTTATACTTTTTTTATCTCAATAATTTTATTTTTGACTATGGTTATAGTTTCATATAAATTTAAACCTGCTATCTTCCACAGTTTTTTGGGAGGCTTCCGACCCCGTAGCCACGGCATTGCGTCAACATGACACTTATCAAATCATGCTTAAGTAGAATAATTATTAATGTAATTTGATAAGATAATTATTATGATGCTTGAACGTAGTAAATTTATCTGATCGCAATAATCCCAACCGGCACATGTAGTTTTGGTTTCAAAGTTAAAACCTGTATACACACGTGTTTCTCACGATTTTTGCGTAAACCAAAAATACTTGTATATTACAGGCAGTTTTACTCGAGTTTAACACGTATTTTTTTGATGTTTTAAAATCAAATTTAAATGGTTTTATTAGTTGGTTTCACATTCTTTACGGAAAGTTACGATAATATAATACTACGTTTTCGTAACGGTGAAACCATTAATATTTTAATTGGTATTTATGGTAAGGGATCGTCTATAAATTACGCCACGCATTTTTTGACAGATTTTGACCTCCCCCTTCCCCTCTTCACAAAATCGTAACACTTAAGAAGCAAGTTTTGTATGAGTCGTCACGAAACTACCAACCCCCCCTCCCAGTATTTAAAAAGAGACAAGAGACAGTATTTAAAAAAAACATTTTGATAATTGTCTGAACATGCTCTGCAAGAAGATATTGTAAAAGCTGCCAAACATGCTGTTAGATTCTGGTTATAGTTGATGAAACATCTATTAGGAACTGAACAGTTATCTGAGCCGTTTTTTGAAACGTCACTGAGAGTGCGGTTTTTTAAAACGTCACTGAGAGTGCGGTTTTTTGAAACGTCACTGAGAGTGCGGTTTTTTAATTCTTCAAGAGAAAAGGCTGTGATTCGTGAGAAATTTTTTAGATTTTTACTGCTGAGAGATATCGGCGCTGTAAAGACATCTTATAATATCATTTAAAATGCAAAACATTTGGCTTTCTCCTTAATAATTTGCTTGGTCAAGGTTATAATAAGTGCTCCGCTATAGCTGGAAAAGAAAATGCTTTTCTTTCCCAAAGCCGTTTTTGTTCACTGCTCCTCACATCGACTTAATCTCTTAGGTAATGAATTTAAAAGATGTTGCAGTGCTACAAAATACTATTGGCAATATTAAAACAATTGTTGCATTTTTTTTCGTGAATATACAAAACGGAGGTTTTCTGTCACAAGTGTTCCTTTTTCATGTGAGATAATTTGGACAAGCAAGTATAAAAGTTTTCAAATTTTTGTAGTAAATTCAAAGGTATTTATTTTCATCTAGAAACATTTTCATTGCATGCAAATAGAATTACAAAATAAATGCACATCAGCTTAATTGTAAAAAAAAAAATTAAAGTAATCCGGGTAACTTAAGCGTTGAGGTTGTTCTTTAGACGAACAAAAATTTATCCTAGTATTTTTGCATTTGTATAGTTGGTTTGATTTTTGAAATGCTTGAGAATACAACAGTAGCCAAGATTTCATCAACTTGTTACCTTTAACACAACTTTATCCAAGTATCAGGTATGCTTTACTAGTGTTAGCTCTACCAGCAACAACATGCATATTACGATGTGTGAAATAAAAGTCAACGATATTACTGTCTGTACATATATGCTTAACTTGCACAAACCAGTGCATGTTAAGCATATATAGAGGTGGAATAAACTGCAATAAAAAAGACTTTATAGATAAAATTGTAGGTATGTTTGGTAATGATAACAAACAACTCCAATTCTTGTTTAAAAAATAAATTTGTGTGCACATTTGAATTCACTACATGTGCACACTACATTTCTTATAAACATAAACACATTCATTAAGTAATTAAAAATATTGCTGCTATAGTTTGCCGTTATTTACTACATACATACATATATATATATATATATATATATATATATATATATATATATATATATATATATATATATATATATATATATATATATATATATATATATATATATATATATAAATATATATATATATATATATATATATATATATATATATATGTATATATATATATATATATATATATATATATATATATATATATATTATATATATATATATATATATATATATATATATATATATATATATATATATATATATATATATATATATATATATATATATATATATATATATATATATATATATATATATATATATATATATATATATATATATATATATATATATATATATATATAAAGAGGTGTCAAAAATATTAGAATCAATAACATAAAAAACATATAACAATGGTTTCATGCAAATTTATTTGTAAATTTTTTTTATTGTTTGAATTAAACATTTGAATGATGCACCTTTTAGTTGAAAAAACATTTCAACATGAACCATTTTTAAATATTACCATTTTTAAATATTAGCCACATTTCCTGAGGCAATAAAGAACACCAAATAAATATTGTTCTTGATTTATGTAATAAAATTTTTTTTCAACTTTGCAACTAGATGTTCAGTTACTTTATGAAACGCATACAGCCATAAAGCCTGAGGGAGAAAAAAGACTAAATTATATTAGAGTAAGTGAGAGTTGAGTAAGTTTCAAGACAATTGGATAGGTGCCTAATGTAAAAGCAAATACCTAAGTGGAAGAAATGGCAGTAATTAATCATGTCTATCCCCAGCAGAAAAAGAAATACAGGTTCGATTAAACTCACTTTTATAGAGCTATATAAGTTTGCAACGAGGACAAGTGAAAATCAGTAAATAAAATAGAAACAGAATCAATACTTATATATTAGTTTTACCTTATTTCAAGGTCTCATATCTCTGAGGCCGGACTGTTAAAACATTTATTAAATTTTGACATTAAAATAATTTTTTTTATAATAATAACAACATATTGTTATTGTATTATAAAGACGAATCAAAATACAATATTTATTGTTATTGTAATGGGTCGTTAAAATACTTTTTTTTTTCAGATATTGTTATTGTATTATGACGATGTATTGCAATACAATATTTATTGTTATTGTATTACAGTATTAAAATAATTGTAAACTACAAGTATTGTTATTGTTTCTAAAAAATGTTAATACAATAACAATAGCTGTTGTTACTGTTATTGTTTTCATTACAATTACAATATGCCTAACCCTAATTGAGAGTGGCTACTTGCTTGGTCTTAAAAAATAAAACCAGATAAGATAGCAACTTAAAAACATTGGCATTACTTTGCTCTAGTTTGTTTAAAGGTTGATCTTTGTTTTTTTTTCTTGCACTAAACCAAGCAAAATAGTATGACAGATGCTATTATGACTGTTCTTTTCAAACTGAAATCTAAGCATTGTTGAATCGATTTTAAATACATACCTTTTTTTTGATTGTATAAACTATTTACGAACTGCAACTTTTTTTTTTTTAAATCTGGAAAAGCGCATAAAATACTTTAAAAGGATTTTGACTTGATCTCTTTAACTTTTGCTCTAACTAAAACAACGACATTGTTTAAAAAGTTGTATTTGTAATGTGTATCACAGAGTATATATCATTTGATCAAAATAAAACACACAAAGTGTCTTTATGTTGCTTGGTATGTTCATACTTTCCCACAACCATTAAAAATTTACAAGTAAGAATAAAACATGTCAAAAAATAAAATCCACTGTATATTTTTATAATGTATTAAAATCATGCAAACTTTAACTTATTTTAACTAAAATAAAAAAGTTTTAATGAATTTGTTAAAATCTCGAGTTTCTTTTGTACTTTGTAAAAGTAACTAATAACGTAGCATAAATTTTTTTAGTTATCTAAACACACTCTTTTCAAAATCTAAATACATTTGGTTTAAACTGAGAAATCAGTAATGTTTGTAGATAATTATAATATTTTGCACGCCACGTATATATATATATATATATATATATATATATATATATATATATATATATATATATATATATATATATATATATATATATATATATATATATATATATATATATATATATATATATATATTAAACTCTACAAATTTAACTAAAACTTCTTTTACCATACACAAAGGTTTTTTTCATTTCATTTTTCCTATGAATTTAATTAGAATAAGTTTTATGAAAAAAAATTTAATCAGAAGAAGACTCAAAAAGTTTGCAACAAATTTAATTTAATACATGATCGTTTGATACATAATACTTTACAAGTTAAAGTAAAAATGAAATGAAAAGTTATTTAATAATTTTTAAACAATTCTATCTTCAAAAACTCAAAAAATAAAACATAAAAGCAACTATTTTCAAAAATTCAAAGATATCATTTTTAGTTTGGTAGATTCCCAACTCTTAAGCAAAGTTCAAACACACGAAAAATTTTAACACATTCCAGTTCATATTGACAATTTTTAAAGTCGCATCTTCTTTCAACTGGGTCACGTAACCTACAAGTTCTAAATACATTTTGTTGAATATTACAGTTTGCTTCGCATACTTCCAACATAAGATACATGAATATTCCACACAGAAAGTGTTTTACTAAATATAAACAATTTACTAAATATAAAAAAAAGCTCAAATATTAATTATGCAAAAAATTTTAAAGGAATATACTGTATATATATTATACTTTATATATATATATATATATATATATATATATATATATATATATATATATATATATATATATATATATATATATATATATATATATATATATATATATATATATATATATATACATATATATATATATATATATATATATATATATATATATATATATATATATATATATATATATATATATATATATATATATATATATATATATATATATATATATATATATATGTAGGCCCGCCGCGACTCTTTTTGACGCCTGGGGTCAAAATTTACCCAGCGCCCTGTCATATTGACTAAATCCAAAAAAAGTCTAGGTACTGTCCAAATGCAAATTTATTTTTATTAAACTGAATTCACTTTCAAAGGCCAAGGGGTAACTATAGTCGAGGAGGCTTCTATTTATTTTTTAAATAAATTTGAAACAAAAGTAAAAAAAGAAACATAAGTTTACAAGTTACTGAACTTTATTATATTGCGAGTAACTGTAAGTTTTAAATGTAACAGATATTTTAAATGCTTCATGAGAATTTGACTCTCCGGCTTTATTTAAAGTAAAATTTGCTATGACCTCGTTGTAGCAAACCTTTTGCAAGATTGTGTTTAATAGATATAACTAAGAGACTGGTAAGCCGGTCTTGACTCATTGTAGATGTTAGTGTTGTCTTGACTAGAGCAAGCTTACTGAAAGATCGCTCTCTTTCGAAACGGGAATTGAGTTAAAAATACGTAACAAATTGCATATTGATTCCAAGGTAGACTCTAGACCTTTTTGATAGATTCTATTTATTAGCCTCATTAAAGCGAGATTTAGAAGTTTACCTTCATCTACTTCGTTCACATAGATTTGCGCCAAAGTTTTACATTTCTTCTCCAGGCTAGTTGGTTCAATTTCTTTTTTTTCACTCGACCTACTATTAGATTCTGCTAGCCATTGGAAAAAGAAACTGTTTGTCCTCTTTTCAGCAGCGTAAAATTTGTCTCTTATTTGTTGAATTAAAGTATAGAGAGCGGTGTTAAATACGTTCACCTAAAACTGGTTTCCATTGTTTTCGTAGAAACAAAATCTGTTGCTTGCTTCTTCGTAAAAATTTTTCTACTTCCTTGTTCTTTTTTGAACTAATTTTGACTGAAATCCATAACTAGTTAGACCGGAGGCAACCAAATGCGCTTCATTAATTAGTTCGAGCCAAGAAGATTTAAATCTAGTTAGATCCTCAATAAGAATTCTCATAAGCTTTATCTCAACATCTAAAGTAATGTTTTTTTGATGATATTTCGGTCGTTTAACCTTCGGTTTCACAACCTTAATGCGTGATTAATGCATCGGATTTGCGAAGTTTGATGAAGAGACAAACCAGTTGTTTTGGTCACAATTTTCCATTGTATAGGGCTTCCACTAAAAAGATTATAGAGTAATTGAATCCGGCCAAAATATTTCTTAATTTCTACAGAAGATTCAAATATTTTGATTCAAGACATCCATAATTAGCTTGGCAATACCGACACCTTTTTTCGAGTTTTTTGACCCTAAGAAAGCGCTCCTTAACTACCCATCTTTTATATATATATATATATATATATATATATATATATATATATATATATATATATATATATATATATATATATATATATATATATATATATATATATATATATATATATATATATATATATATTTATATATATATATATATATATATATATATATATATATATATATATATATATATATATATATATATATATATATATATATATATATATATATATATATATATATATATATATATATATATATATATATATATATATATATATATATATATATATATATATATATATATATATATATATATATATATAGTGATTTTTATTGATTGGGATTGTTATTTCAAAAGACATGTAGGAGTTTTTATTACAAAAAGCATGTAAGAGTTGTTTATAAAAAAAAAAATTTACTTACAATGCATAACTTTTACCAACTTTATGGTTTTAAAAGTAACGAATAAGTTTTTATAATCAAAGTTATAATGTGGTATCACTAAATTGCATTTATTTAGAATAAATTATTTTTATATAAGTTAATCAGTTTGGTTTTTCTAATGAATGTGAATTTAATTATGCGGATATTACGTTTGATACAATATGCTTAAAAACTTCCTTTTTCCTTTTTATAGCAATTTTCATATTGCATTTTGTTTTTATTCGGGTTTTTTAGTGTTTTTGCTAATTATTGTTATTTAGATCTTTATAAAAGTTCTTAAGAATTTATTTATCTAAAAAAGTAAAATATGTAAACAATACATGTAAAATAAAAATTTGTTATTAAACTAAAAAATATGGAAAAAATTATTTTTTATTTTTGACTGTATTTTTAGTTTGTATGTATGTTTAAACGTTTTATTTCTTAGGTTTTGAGAGATTTTGAATATTATCCCTTAAAAGATGCAGGCACACCATAATTTGCTGAGTAAATAACACAAAATCGTATGTACAAATTGTCAAATGTTAAGAAGAAAAAAAAATCAAATATTTTTCTGATTCAATTGGATTTACTTGCAAAAGTATAAAAGAAAATAAACTATATGATATTTTAATAACTTATACATCCAGTTAAGTTTCCTTGTTTATAAAATAGAAAAATCTATTTGATATTACCCAAGCTTATTTGTCTTTTATGTTTTATTGCAGGACCAAACCGGAAGATCTAGTTTTATTTTCGGAATTAAAATCTGTATAGGCACGTGTTTGTCACGATCTGTGCGTTAACCAAAAACACGCGTATGTTGCGGGCAGTTAACTCAAATTTAACACTCTGAATTAAAATCACGAAGTTAAAGCCAATTGATTTTATCTCCCTCAAAATATATTTTTCTTATTTTACTACATGTTTTGTTAGGCACTTAATATCTAGAAACATCGTACTGTCCATTTCTGAAACAGTGTACATGCCACTTTAAGATGACATACGGACCAATGTACACCATCGAGAAGAATTAAAGAGATCTACATTTTTGGAGTATTTTTCAATTCAAGCATGTACTGAATTGCACTTCATTTGAAAATATCCAGGCTCAAAGAAATTGTATATGGCCAACTTTTGCTTATATAATAAACCCTTAGGATTTGTTAATGGACAGTATCTGGCAGCCTATATGTTGAATTCAGCCAATTGAATTTCTATATTAAGTGACTTATTTTTGACGTCGGAAAGTAAGCTCTTTGATTCCATCTTCTCTCTTAAATAAGCATCAGCTGACAAAACCTGCCTTTCAGTATCACTATTTTTATCAAAAATAAAAGATAGCAAATTTTTTGAGATCAAACTTTAAGAAAAAATTATTATTAAATTTGTCCCTGTAAAAACTTATTTTTTCGGGTAGCATTGCACTTTTCTTGATATAATTTGTACATTTTTGTCAAGTTCAAATCGCCTGACAAATATTCGTAATTAGAGTCTTTGCAACAATAATGTGATGGTACTCTTGGGAAAGATCGAATTTGATCAGCAATAAATTAATTGAATCCTTTTTTAAATTGCTAGTGGGTGGCGTCCACTTTGGTTTCTTTGTAAAAATGTTTGATCACCTCTTTTTTTAATAATATTTCATACAAACACTTCCGTAATAATTAATATTGCCAGGAAGAATTTTTGACACTTTTTGATTATCTACTAAAAAATAAAATCATTAAGTATTTTTCCTTCTTAAAACATCAGCTGATGTGCGACATGATCCCTTATTCACTTTGTCTACAAGGAAGCTTACAAAAATTCTTTGCTTCCCCGACGGGCATTTGTTTTTAAAAGTTACGTTCTAAATGTATTTTAAATGTCTTTTAAACGTCTTCTAAACATTCTTACGCAAAAAACGTTTAAAAGACATTTAAAATACATTTAGAACGTAACTTTTAAAAACAATTGCCCGTCGGGTCACCACCTCATCTATTGCCGAGTAGTTATTAAATAGTTCCTACCTTGCAGGTTCTTCAAAGGAATTGCTGCATTTATAAGGATACGATGTGCAACTGATTTCTTTTGGACGAAACTGTTTTTTCTCTCATGGATAAATATTCTCTTTTTTTGTTGTTGTTAATTGATTCATCTCGTGTTAAGTGGTATTTTGTTTCCAGATTTTGGATAAGCTTTCTACGGGATTTTTTTCTAATTAAGGCATCAACTAAAAGGTATTTAAATAAAAAATAAAAAAATTTCATTCATTACAAAAAGTAAAAAAAAAAAAAACTACTTTAAGGCATGAAAGACCAAAGTAAATTTGTTTTCATGTTGTTATCGAAAGGAAAAAAATTATTTTTTATTTTAACTTCATGAATTTATGGTTTTAAAATAAAAAATTAATTTAAGAAAAAATAATTCTAAAATGCATTTTTAATGTCCCACTAATTGACCAAAAACCACATGAATTTCTAAATGTTGTTAAAAAATTTCTTTTTACTTTGTAAGTAAAAATATTTTTGAAAATGTAAGTAATGGGTTTAAATATATTGTTACTAGGATTCAAATCAGAAAAGACAAAACAATTGTATTAAGAAAGAGACTAAAACTAACTCTTGCAAAGTATGTTGCCATATGGCAAGCATCATATCAAAAAAAAAATTCTTGATAATATAATTTAAATTTTGCTTAATTAAGTTTTTAAAAAAATTGATTTAGTTAAAGCACCAGGTAATCAAGAGAGTTTAATAAATAAATCAGCAAAAGAGGTCGACCAACAAAAAGGCCTGATGAATCAAGTTCTCGAACCAAAAGACGATTAATAGCAAATATATCATTTGATTCAAAAACAGAATCCGTCAAAATATTTTTAGTGGCACAAAGAACAGCATTTAATAAACGTGACTATAATTAAGCCAAATTACTGAGTGTCGTTACAAAGAAAGCGTTACCAATAGTTATTACTTTCCTCTCAGCTAACCACATTGCAAGAGAAAATGACGTCTGAAGAAGCTTTTGCATATTTCTTGGATAACAAACTTTCAAGAAATGTTTATGAAAATACCCATAAAGAAACACCATGCAGATTTCTATCTTATCGAGTAACTTTCAAAATAAAAAACGAGTACTCACCTTTAAAAACATCCAATAAAGTTACTGAAACAAAGACTAAAGTTAAACTACAGGATCTTATGGATCACACATACATATAGCTTGCGAAACTACAGGAAAAGAAAATTTTAAATCAAAAACTAATTATGATCATAACTTCCAGAAAATAAAATTTGATGAAAGTTGAAACCTGTCAACGGATTTAAGTTTAGTATAAGATTGCAGCAAAAATCTTTTTTGGACTCATTGCCCTCATATTTGGGTGGGGAGGGCTTATTTTTTGAGGTACTTTTGATCTCAGGCTTCAATCACTGCAATTTTTTTGCAAACCACTATACTTTGACATAAGCATAAACATAACCAGTTTGGATCTTTGGAAAATCATCCATTATTTAAACAATGTCTAAAGGTATCTCATATAAAAAAATTCAATTGGGCCGCCAGTGCTTAAGTGAATTTTTCCATTACCCTTGCTCCATAATAAGTAAGATTAACACAAAAATAAAAAAATATTATATTAAATCTCTATTTTACTCAAATAATTAATAACATCCACATAAATACAACGATTATAATTTTGGCCACCTATTTCAATGGAATGTTCCTTCTGTGCATTAGTCGCAATATAGCTATTATTTTTTTTATTTATTTCAAAAATTTATTTAACGTTGATAAGTTACACTAGTTTAGTTTTCATAAACTAATTCAAATCAACTCATTTAACCTTATGGACACACACACCAAAACAAATATTGTTATTAAATAAACAAATAGTTAAAAAAGGCATGTAAATAAAAAATAATAATTTCTAATAAAAAAATTGTGTAATTTTTATTAAAATTACAATGTTTGTATTTTTAATAAAAATTACACAATTTTTTCATTAAAAAAAAATTGTAAATTAAAAAAAATTAGTAGCTACAAATTTTACAAAAGCAATTATTTCCTTGCCATTTTTTAATAAGTTTTTTGAAACACACTAGACTGATACAAGACATGGTATCATTATCTAGTGAGTTCCACAGCCAGTTGGCTTTATACAAAAACTGTTAGTACCTTTTTACTTAGAGTCTTTGGGTGGTAGAAACAATTTTTTTCAGCTTCGAAGTTGATAGGGTAGATTTTTTATTGTAAACATATTTTTTATATATGGTGGATTTAAATTATTGATAGACTTAAAAACTTCAATCATAAGAAATCTTAAATTTCTTACGTGAATTCTGGGGCTATTATCTAATAACAACAATTCTTCAAAATATAAATCAAATCTTTTGTGCACTATGCACAGAGCTTTTTTATGAACTTTATTAAGAAGCATCATATCATGTTTAGAACAAAACATCCAAATTATTGGACAGTAAGAAAAAGTAGACAAAATAAAAGCGTTGAATAATAGTATGGTGTTTTTAAGTGTTAAAAAATTTCTTATGCGACCAAGAGCAAAACATTTTTTTTTTAGCTTTACTACATAACAACCAGTGGCGGATTTAGTATAGGGCGTGGGGGGGGGGGGGGCGAGCTGCCCCCCACGCCCCCCTAGAACGGTCTAACGGCGCCCCCTAAAACAATTAATATATATATATATATATACATATATATGTATATATATATATATATATATATATATATATGTATATATATATATATATATATATATATATATATATATATATATATATAAGATTAAATTACTGAAGGCAACCCCGGTCGCCCCTATTTATTGACTTGGCCCCCCCGCGACACTAAACCTCAATCCGCCACTGATAACAACTTTATATGTTCACCAAACTTTAAATCCTTATCTATAGTAACCCCATAGTCACCTTGTCAGAGGCAAATATTTTTATGTTTCATATTGTTAGAAAATAATTTTCATAGTTTATTATACCAACTAACAGTAGTTGGTATAATATAACCATAGAATTTACCTTAAACCAAACAATGGTATTATTAATTTCCTCTTGCAAACGAGAAAGTACTCTTTCTTCACTGTTATCA